TATGGAGTGAAGGGTGGGGGTGAGAGAAGGGGAGCGTTTGCGGTAAACCCAAAGATCAACCCCACCCCACTCCACCCATTGGGAGGTTGGTTTTGGCTATTTTCCGGCTCCCTTCAGTCCCAAAAGCAACCGGGACGCAGGTTAAAGGCGCGGATGGGTTCGGGGGTGGGGCCGGAGAAGGGTGGATAAAACGGGACAGGCTGCTGCCTGCCCCGCCACCAATATTAAATCTTAAGTTTCCTAAATTAAACCTTTTTCAAGCCGCGACTCCGCGACCATGGAAGCTAGGCTGCTAGGCTACACCTTACTACAACAATGATATATACGTCCATTCCATCCCTGTCGATCCCCTTTGCCCCGCCCGCCCGCCGCAGGACTTGGTCTCTGGCCTTCACGAGACCAAGATGACGGGGCAGGATTTGTACAGGGCTATCCTCGCTGCGAAGAGCGACGACTTCAAGCCCGTCCTCAAGTGCTATGAGATGGCACTCCAACGTGCCGTCGACACGGCGGCGACTGAGAAGGACTACCCGAGCATGATGACCCTGCTGAAGGAGGATCGGAATTCCTTCAACATTTCGATCCTTGACCATCCCGAAAGACAGGCAAGATTCCAGGAGCGTGAGGTCACGCGACTGTGTGTGTCCTTGCTTGCTGAAGAGGACCGAGTGAATGAGGTTGCCTCACTGGTGGACGTTGTGCTGGGCCCGACATCCTGCTTGCCAGATTCGAGCTCCATCCGCAGAGAATTCAAGATGCTTGCCTTGATCTTGTTTCCAATGAAGCCGGAGCTGGATGTTGGGGAGCTGGAAAAGACTGCGGGCCAGTTCCGGGAAGACCGGAACTTGACGCTCCACAAAGTGATGACCAATTTTCCGACGGGCCTGCAGATCTTGGATGCTGTGTCACGGGCTATTTGCACTCGACGTGAGGACGACCGTCAGCTAGTCAAGATGAAGGAAATCGTCGACCGCGCGGCCCAGATCGATCCACTTCCCGATGATCTTACCGATGTAGACAAGATGCAGCAGCTCGCCAAGCCCATCCAGGAGATTGCCGAGACTTTTGGAGAGGACGGCGCGTAAAATCCGAACTGTCCTAACTCTCAAGGGGAGAGGGGAGGGAGAGGGGGGAGAGGTAGGGGGAGAGGGCGAGGTGGTGGGGGTTTTGGTTTTGGGCAGTGGGGGTGGATTAAGAATGAATCAAGACTAATTAAGATTCAAGATTCTAGGTCTCTAGGTCCTAGCTAGGTCCTACGTCTGGTCCTAGTCCTAAGTCCTACAGGTCGTTCCTTTGTCGTACCTAGGTCCTGGTCCTAGCCATTATCCTTATCCTTTTTCCAAGAAGCCCATCATTTGCAGGTCAAAGAAGCCGTCAGTTCGGAGTTCCTTGAGCAGTACAAAACGGAGCTCGAAACCATCTCGACGCGGTTGGAGGCCCTGCCATTGGCTTGTGCCGAAGTCTTGTTTGAGTGTTTGCAACATGAGGTCTAACTGAGTCTACTTGAATTTGCACGGGTTAGCAGTCAGAATCAATAACTACCACTGAATTCTGACTTGCTTCTGATTGCTGGTTGTGAACTACGGTGCTGAACACTGAGTATAAATACTCTCCATTCTGCTCTGTTGTAAATTAGAACTATAGCGACTATTATAACGAATTAACTACTAACTAACTGTATTACTGTATAGTTATAGTTATAGTTATAGTTATAGTTAGTAACTGTAACTAGTCGTTGTGGTCAGTCGGATGCTGAAAATGGTGGAACGATGGCCAGCAGTTGGTTTTGATCCTTTCTTCCAGCGTTTTCTCAATGTGCCGCATGTGCAGGCGACTGCGAAGACCATCACGGCCACATTGCGGGCTTCATGGGTTGCTGCTGCGAAGCCGTGCTTCGCATGTGGTTCCTTTTGGAAATCAACAGTGGCGCACGCAAAGAGCTGAGTGATGCCGAGAAGAAGGAGTTTGAAGACTTGCGTGAGGCCATGCATTCCGCAGCGGCCCCTGTCGATGTCTTGATGGGCTTCTTGGAAGAGGAGAAAATGACAGACATTGTGGCCGACCACAATGAGATCCGTAATGCGGCCGAGGTCCTCAGGCTGACATTCTCAAAGCTGGTGGAAGGCTCCTGGGAAATGTCTTCGGATGAGAATATGGATGTCCTTGTATCCATCTTGGAGAACCCCTCACGCATCAAGAAGGGCATGGCCGAGTTTCAGGCTTTCCAAGCAGCCGCCGACGAAAGGATGTTGTTTATGGCCAAGCAGCACCTGACGGGCATCCTCCAGCCGCTGCTGAAGCCTTTGGCAGCCCAGCAGCTCTTGGGTTTCATGGCCGGCAAGTGCGACACCGCACCCTTCGGTGAGGCAGCAGGTGACTGCAACGATTGCGAGGGCGACAAGCTCAATGAGGCCATCAAGGCATGTGCCCAGGCCACTAAGGTGCTGGCCAGCTGGCTGGGCAAGGATTTGCCGGACTTCGGCTTGGCAGTGGCCACTGCTGGTGCCACACCAGCTGTCCTGGAGGCCGGTGCCGACGAGCAGCCGCATCCCTCTGGTCTGGAGCAGGCCTGTGTGAAAGCCTGGATGGCCTGTGGATTTCCTGTCTGCTTGAAGGTCCTTGTATACGTCAATCAATGCTCAACCCTCCAGACCCAGATCTCAGGTGCGGAAAAATGGGAGCCGGCCAAGCTTGACGAGTTCGTCAAGCAATTCGTGAGCAGCCACGCTGAGCTGATCAACTTCAAGAGTGTGATGGCAACCATGGACCTGAATACAGAGGACGCCGCAGGAGCCAAGCTCTACTTCTTGAACAAGTTCGGTACTTTGGTGACCGAGCGGATGTCGAAGGCATTGGAGGCAGTGTTGCAGAAGTTCTATGATGCTAGTGCTGAGATTCACAAGAACTTGGACACGCATGCCCAGGACGCCACCATCAGCTCAATCGAAGAACTGGTGAATGAGGGCTGCGGGGATGACCGTCGCAACAAGCTGCTTGAAGTTGCCCAGTCAAGGGCCTCCAAAGATCTGCATGGGGCCGTAAAGTCGGTTGAAGGCTTGGCTGAGCTGTTCGGTCCCTTTGCAGGGTTGGAGGATCTCAAGGATGCGTTCCCTTCTCCGATTGTCATCCTTGAGAAGGCCAAGTTGCTCTACGTGCACGATGGGGTGAACCTTGCGAAGCGGCTCAACTGCATCTTGGCGAGCGTGCAGGGGCTCTTCCGCCCACTCAAAGCAGATGAAACAAGAGGCAAGCTAGCAAGAAGAGTCAGGGCAATGGCGACGACAAAGCAGTGCCGTTTGCCCGCGAACCTTGATATGTTGGTAACAAAGCTGGCGGCTGCACCAGACCAGAAGTCTTGAGCCAGCCCATTGCCACACTGAAAGTGTGATGTTGGGGCTTGTGGAGCGGTGGGGTTGCCCGCTCCCACATTCTTTACCCGTGCCATTTGCCCAGCCTGCCTTTGGGCCGGATAGGGGCTTACGGCCTACGGCTTGATCATTATGTCTGAGCCCTGAGCCTCTGACTCTGACCTGCTTTGATCTCTGTCAGTGAGTCGCCGGCTCGACTCCACAATCCACAAGTTGTGCTTAGCCAAGCCAAGCTTACGCCTTAGAAGAGTCATCAAGATAAGAGTCTTAAGCAGGCTCAAGGTTTTAGAACCCCAATGGCCCAAGTTCCTAAGTCTTTAGGNNCTTTAGGTACTTTAGGCCTTTTAGGCCTTTAGGAACTTTAGGATTCAGGGCTGGGGTCGGCTGGGGGTTTAGGATTGTAGAATGCAGGAACCTTAGCTTTACGGTCTTTATGTCCTTAGAGGCCCGGGTCAAAGCCGAAGTCTAAAATCGTCGCTCCAGGTATGACTCTGGTGATAGTTTGGCTTGGCTGAAAGAGTTTTGCGCCCTGCTGTGCCGCACTGCGGTTCGACAGCCGAGAGAAAACCCCAAGGATGGCGTGCCACGTATTGTTGAGCTCACTTCCTGTTGCAAATTTGTTGCTGCCAGTGTTTCGCTTGCATTGGACAATCGGCAGGTTAACGTACCCGCTACGGCGGGGCCACAGGTGCATAGCTCTTGGGGCCCGGGCCCAAGACGAGCGGATTGCACCTACTGAATGGCCCTATTGCAGGATGTTGCCGACTTGGTTATTCAGCTCAGCCTAATAATGACCTATTTCCGTCAATCATTAATCCCACTGTTTCTAACTAGCTGCAGAAACAACGTGGCGAGTTGATTGGAGCTTGTGTCCACAAGTGAGAAGCTCATAAGCCATAAGCTCATCGGATGCCAAGGTGATTGCTACTGATGCGCCAGCCGACATCAAGCGGCATTGTCGTAGCTGGCGAGTGAAAAAAAGTTCCACGCTGATTGCGGAATGGTGCTACAGTAGACATATCCAGACTCATATTTGTGGAGCCAGCCCCTCCATTGGGGAAAGTCAGCTTCAGACAATTTGACACAACAACATTCGACATATGGCAAAGCACAACCTTGAAGTGTAGGAAAAGCACTCTCTGAAGTGTGGGTAAACAGCCCTTGAAATGTGGAAAAAACCGCCCTTGAAGTGGATAAAAGCAGCCCTTGAAATGTGGAAAAAACCGCCCTTGAAGTGGATAAAAGCAGCCCTGGATGTGTGGAAAAACGCCCTTGAAGTGTGGAAAAATGGCCCTCGGAGTGTGGAAAAATGGGCCTTCTTATCCATCCTTTAATGACCTCTTAAGTAAGGCTGCAGACCTAAAGAATAGTTGCCGAAGGGCCTGTCCAACCCTAGGCCCTAAACCCTTTAGGGAAAGTTGAGGGTTTAGGGTTTGTTTCTTCTGCAATGGCCGACTTTTCAAGGGCCCGACTCCACGTGATGGAAGCGTGGGGGGCTCTGATTCATTTTGGCTTAAGTTGCCATGTCACTATGTCGATGTCTCAACCCAAGGACCGATGCCAGAAAAAGGGTGGTTGACGAATTGGAGAAGATGTAGTTTAGCAGTGTAGTTTTTAACCGTGTAAGACAAGATGCCATTCATGCCACGGACAGCTGCGCTGGCAGCCATCGTGCTCATCATTTCTGCGCCTGCAGAATGCGCCAAAGGTGGAGAGTTTTGCAATGCCTTCAGGGGCAAGTGCCACGGAAATCTTGGCCAATTCATGAGCCACACCCTGCTGAGTGAGACTGGCACCCGTGCTTCAGAAGTGGTTGACTTCGCTCTTGCTGACTGGGACCGTGATGGTGACTTAGATTTAGTCTTGGTCGCCTTGGCCAGAAATAACCATTCATCGTTTAGCTCCCATCTTCGGTTTTTCGAGAATACAGCGGGGAACCTCAGCGAGAGGACGGGATGCAGCAACCCATTCGGGAACATATCTATCAACTACACAAGTGATTGGGGGATTGGTAGACCCCAAGTACTGAAACTGGTTGATTGGGATGGAGACAACAGGACTGACCTCATTATTGCATCAGGAGATTTATTAAACCATTTGGGCAACTTGCGGTATTTCCAGCAGGCTCCCGATGGGCAGCTTCTTGAGCTGACGGGAGCCGACAGCCCGTTCCATATGATCAGCGCTGTCGAGTTTGAGACGGCCGATTGGGATGAGGATGGTGATCAGGATCTGTTTGTTCCTTGTGGCCGTGGTTATTCCCACCGCACTGGCTGGTGTTATTTCGAGCAACTCCAAAACAGCAGCCTTTCGCCCAGGACGGGCGTGGCCAACCCCCTGTCTGGCTTACCAATTGACAGAGGCAACCGTGTTCAGGCTGTTGATTGGGATGGCGATGGAGATCTAGATATTCTCTACTCGCGCTACCTTTCAAGTCCGAAGTTGTATTCGCGAGCTGCAGACATGAGCCTTGTTGACCGAGGCGGCATGGATTTCCTCCGAGCCGGATTCGACAGTGTTGTTGTAGCGGCTGACTTCGATGGTGATGGAGACTGTGATGTAGTAAAAATGGAGAAGCATTGGTCAGATGGTCAAGTGACGAGCTTTGAGTTCCTGGAGCAGGTACCAGACCCAACCCTCAAACAGCGTTCAGGGACTGACAATCCTTTTGCAGAAATCCAAACAGACGGCGCGGTTTTCCCAGAGTTCGTAGATTGGGATGGAGATGGCGATGTTGACTTGTTGCTTGGCACAGGTATGGGCAGCATGCGTTTTTTTGAAAGGCGTGCTGATGGCACCGTGGAAGAAAAGATCGGCACTCTGAATCCCTTCCACGCTGTCAATGTCAGTGGGCGTGCAGTACCCAAGGCCATCGATTGGGACAGCGACGGTCAGTTGGAGCTTGTGGTAGGGGCGAGAGATGGAAGTTTGCATTTCTTCAAGCAAACCTCCAACGGATCGCTTTATGCACTCACAGGCCAAGCCAACCCATTTCAAAATCTTACAGTGCGTGGATTCGCGGCACCAGAAGTCGTTGATTGGGATGGTGATGGCGACTTAGATCTCTTCCTTGGCAGCTCGACGGGGCGCGATTTCGAAACAGACGGCTGTGGGGTGTTTTACTACGAACAGTTGGACAATGCAACCTTTCATGGTCGATGCTTTTTGACTTTGACACAGAAGAATTACATCGTTTTCTATGTTGCGCCAAGAGCTGGCGACTGGGACCGAGACGGCGACGTTGATCTTCTACTCATTGGGAGTACAAAAGTGGATTCAATGTTTCCACCCAACATTTGGTACTTTGAGCGCCTAGCATCGGACAGTTTCAGCGAAAGTTGGTCCGAACACTCAATGAGCAATTATTTGGAAGTCGGTCCCTTTGCGGGCCTTCCTGCCTGGGGAGCACGAGTCAGCATTGCAGACTGGGACAAGGATGGGGACTGGGATGTTCTGCTTGGGCTGCAGTATTTTGAAGGTGGCTGGTGCAAGAGCCCGGGCTCCTGCCAACATGGTATGTGTGATCCGGCAACTGGTACGTGCAAATGCTGGACAGGCTACGATCAGGCCGATTGTTCCGGTTGTGGTTCTGGATATTTCCGTATTGGCAAGTCGGCGGTGTATCAGCCAACAGAAGTCGCCTTGACAAGGAAGTGCAGCCCGTGTCCAGGCATTCTCCTGCATGGCACCGCATGCTCTTCAAGAGGCCAATGCCATGATGCTAAACATGCTCAAGAGCTTGCACTTGAGATGAGTCCTTCATCCCGTGCCTACATCAATCTAACTGCCTTTGGGGAAGGCGACTGTGAGTGTTCTGCCCCGTTTCATGGCAAGAGTTGTGAACGCGGGGAATGCGGTGCTGGCTTTGAGTATGTGAAGAGCGAACTTTGGAGCTGCAGGCCATGCCCGCCGGGCTATTTCAAGCCAGGCGCCGGCAATGGCGATCGCTGCGAGCAATGCTTGAAGGGACACTTTGCAGAGTTCCACGGTAGCTTTTCTTGCGATGAATGCACGCATTTTCTGTGGCGAGTAGAGGTCACTCAAGACAGGGCAGGCTGCCAATATTCGCACATGAATGTGTACATAGGGCTGCCTCTCGTTTTGGTCTCGATGCTGCTGTTTCTCCCACTGCCTTTCGCATGTAGCTTGCGCATGGTTATTTTGGACATCCGGACTCTCGGGGATCGCGTGCAGGTTACAACCAATGGTCAGCACTACATTCTCTCCCGGGCCGGTCAAGTCAGAGTATCTTTCCGTGGCACGAAGATTCCTTGGCTTGATGATTCCAGCAAAGTCTACTATGCGCGGGTAGAGGACTACTCGAAGTTGTCTCTCCACAACAAAGATGGTTCGAAAGCAATGCTTCCAGTGTCCGAGACGTCAAGAGGTGAGATGCGCTTGCTTTGGCGTGATGCCGTTCTTGGAGTCGGGCTGCTGAACATTCCCTTTATTTGTTGGTCGCTGTTCTTTTTTCTATGCATTTTGGCTTTGGTGGCGTTGGCCGGCGTGCTACAAGGGCTACCCCAATTCCATCCAACGTTGCTCGAAGTGCTCGGCGTCGCAGTAGGGCTGTTTTTGGGCTGCTGTTGCCATTGCTGGAGATGCTACTCCTTATCCCGCACTGCCATTAACAAGGACATGAATATGTTTAGGTCGGAGTTAAACGCCACATGCCCACATCCTGAAAGCTGTGAACGTGGTCCTGGCAGAGCCATAAGCTTGCAACAGCTTTGGCAGTTCTTCAACTATTTCCAGCAGTATATTGGAACACGGAACATGTACTATGTCTGTAGTAATTTGGTTTGTCCTCTCACAGAACCCTTGCTCTTGTCGTATGCCGAGCTCGCCGGGCCTAGCTCTGTCAGGTGGTTTGTTTCGCATTACTGGGGTGGTTCCTTCAGTCAGTTTGTTGAGGCATTGCAGAAGCATTCGCGAGGGGGTGCTTGCACGCAACTGTCCTATTGGATTTGCACCTTCAGCAACAATCAGTGGAAGGTGAAGGAGGAGCTTGGTGAGACGTGGGAACATTCATCCTTTTATCTTGCGCTGCGGAGCGGCCTTTGCATGGGGACACTCCTGGTACTCGATGAGGAGGCAATGCCATTGACCAGATCCTGGTGCTTGTTTGAGCTCTTGCAGACTGCAGTTTTGTCGCATGAGAATGCTGACTTTCAGGGGCTCTTGCTATGCACCCATTCTGGAGTGATGAATTATGGGCAGAGTAACATGGACATGGCCATGAGCGTTTCCGAGAAGCTGTCTACTTTGCGTTTGGAGGATGCTAGCGCCAGCGTGCAGTCAGACAAGGAGATGATTGATGACCTCGTGCGCCAGCAGCCAGGTGGCTTCACAGCTATCAATCAGTACTTGGTTGCAGCAGTCAGGGGCGCACTGACTGCATTGCAACGCCGCTTCCAAAATGATCTCAACAGGCTCCAGGTGAATTTGGTAGCAGCTGACGGCAGTCTCAGACCAAATTATGCTTTCTTCAGTGGCGCTATCAGCAGCGCAGATGGCCGTTCATCGGTCTCAGAGGCGAGCCGTTCAGCAGCAAGTGTTGAAGCCATCAGCAGGGATGAAATACGGTCCTCCTCACTCTGGCATCGTGCGTACTGCCTTGCTGAGAAGGTGTTGGAAGCCAGCAAAATCTCGAAAACCTCGACTGAGGTCCAGTCAGTCCAGTCTCAAGGGCGCTTCTGTTTGCATCAATTTGCGTCTCTGGCATAAGCCCAGAGGCCCCTCGCGTCCCTGGCATAAGCCCAGAGGCCCCTCGACGCCTGGTTCGCCTGCTTGAGAAACGGAATCCCAAAGCAATGTGCAACATTCAAATTTGACACCGGAAGGTCGAAATCCAAGCCAGAGTGTCTGGAGAGCGGCTCTTTGTAAACTCCAGGTGCTCGATTCCAAAGCACGAAAAAGTTCGCGAAACCGATTGTCCAGCAAGGCTCGTGCACGTTAGGGTCCTTGCGAGTGTAACTGAGAGAGGTATTTCATGATGGTTGAATGATAACGCACTGCCACGGGTGATTCTGGCAACGTAGAGGCATCGACTCCCGTGCCAGGACGTTGTTGGTAGCCGAATATTTTGCGCTTAGGGTATGATTTGGCGATGCATCCTCCACCGCCTTCTTGGCCCACCGTCGCGATTCCAACAATGCATTTGTATGTACGCAACAAGGTTTTCACTGCAGCTTTTTTCCAAGGTGGGTCGGATCGCAAGTTGCCAGAACATTGTGATATTTTCTTGCTGGCTTGGGCTCGCGTTGAAAATTGACGCGAACGACTTTTGCACATTGCTTGTAACCCCTTTGTTGTAACGTCACGTCACACAATCGCGAGAGTTCGAGGATGTCAAATGATGTTTGAAGTGACTGTCGCCTTTCGTATATGAAAGCGTTGCCAGTGTTGTCTTGAAAGTTTGCCGAAAGATTTGGCGAGGTTGACGCGACTGTAGGGAATGCAGATTCCGTGTTTAAGAAATTGTGTTGACTTGGCTTGGATGCGGGCAGGTGTGAAGCTGCCTGTGGCTCAAATTTCGAGCTACAAACTTTACCCGCTTGTAGTACCGATGGGCATCGCTGGCCGGATTCAATTATGGTTGGCATTGGCCGCGACAACGCCTAGATGCATCCCGGCGCTGGAGGCGGATATGGTTTGGATTTTCCTAGGAGTTTGCACACCATCTGAATCACTTCGAGTTCACGAAGCTCGTCACAGCGTGTCAGTCGCAACGCTTGTGTCACTTCTTGATTTCCTGGTCCTTGCAAGGTTTCGCTCTCGAGGCTTGGGATTTGGGAGCTTTTGCGTTTCGGCCCGTTTCGGTGTCTGAACCACATGTCCTCAGTAAGGCTGAGGGCGCTGCACTGCACAGCGTTGTCCCAGTCCGACTGTGGCATTTCATTTCAATTGCAAAAACGCGATCCTGAATCCGGGGTTGTCATCCCCGAGCCACAACTCCAGACTTTCGATCTTCTTCGTTGTCTTGCACGGAGTCTGAACAAACTGAGCGGACCAGGATGGAATCATATGGAATCCGTAAAATCTAGCTCCCGTGGGCCCAGTTCCATGGCAAGGAGACGTGCCCCACCCACCCGCGCAGTTTGCTTCAAAGCAAGCGGCAGAAGTTCAACGAGGTGGCGCGTTCAGGGAACATGAATTTGGGGGCTCTTCACATTTCTGTTGTTTTGCTGGTGTGGTTATGAGAACGGAGGTCGTCGTGATGGTGTCTTTTGTGGTGCTGGTTGCGGTAGACGTTCCCTGTTGTCTCTAAACCCTATATCAATATCCCAAACCCAAACCTACCGAAGCCCCCTATATGAACTTACACGTAGTGTGCTATTCCCATAGGACATGCTCCGAAGCCGCGAGCCAGGTCGACGTTAAATCTTTCGCGGCCCTCCCGGATGAGCCTTCTGAAGAGACGTCCGAGGCCAATCGACCTCCCTCCATCCATCCATCCATCCATCCATCCTTCCTTCCTTCCTTCCTTCCCTTCCTTCCTTCCTTCCTTCCTTCCTTCCTGCCTCCCTCATCTTCGTCTTCATCTTCAACTTCATCTTCCTCTCCATCATCATCATAATCACTATCACATTTGTTTTCTTGTACTGCCATCCTCGCCATCTTCTTTCCAGCGCCACTCGGTGCTTAGTGTCAACATGGCCACCGCATAACCCTAAACCCTAAACCCTATTCACTGTCAGACTCCATCGCCATCACCTTCGCCATCGTCATTGCTATCGCAGTCGTCAGAAAGGTCATCCCTTTTCTGCATCACCTTCGAGAGGCGGTCCATCACCATCACCACCGCAAACATCACCAGGGTTTAGGGTTTAGGGATTAGGGTTTAGGGCTTAGGGTTTAGGGATCATGACACTCGTCATCTTCACTCATCTTCATTCACCCAGCGCTAGAAGAGACAATGTGCAGTGACCTCAGTGCATCAAACTGCTGAGCCTCGGGGACTGAGTGTCGGAGAGCAGCGCCGGATAGTAAACCGTATAAACCCGAAACCCTACACCCCTAAACCCTGAACCCCTAAAGCCCTAAACCCCTAAACCCTTAAACCCCTAAACCCTAAACCCTGAACCCCTGAAACCCTGAAACCCTAAACCCTAAAGCCCTAAACCCTAAACTGCTAAACCCTAAACCCTAAACCCTGAACCCTACACCCTAAACCCCTAAACCCTAAACCCCTAAACCCTGAACCCCAAACCATGCTGGGAGCCCGAACCGAGCGGCTGAAGCAG